TGAATTATGTCTATGTGCAATAATTTCATTAAAATAATTTGCAAGAAATGTACAGTATTTTGACATAAATACTTTTAGCGTTTTCGATTATACAGGATTTGAACGACCCAGGTTGGTTAATGACGTCATTGCAACCTCTCCACCAATGAAAGACTTGCATTTATAGTAAAATAGTGATTGATCAACCCTGGGTCGTTCAAATCCTGTATAATCGAAAACGCTATTTGACAGTACCGCTCTCTCTGGTAATATCAAATAACTAATTTCGCTCTTGCAGGAAATCATTTGTTCTTTATAGCTGCACTGGAACTGTACTAAACAAGATAGTACAGATCAGACTATCTATCTGTCTTGTATTATCCTGTTATAATGCAATCCCAGTGCAGCAATAAAGGAACAAACCTTATATTTATCGATCGTTTTCGTAAAAATTTCACTTTAGTATGACATTAGACATTGATACACTAAGTAAAAAAAAATTAAGACTGTAAATTTGTAAATAAAGGACAAAATTGTAATATAAAGAATACAATTTTAAAAAAAGGACAAAATTAAGTTTTTAAGAAATGAATAAATCTAAAGGACAGCTACTTGAAATAAAGGACTGTCCTTTGAAATAAAGGACGGATGGTCACCGTAGTAATGCGGAACTGTGGATGTCTAGTAGACATCTATAGGAGATTACATGGACATCTAATAGAGATTTCGAATCTCCATGATGGACATCTAGTAGATATCCATTAGAGGTTTTTGTTCCGTGTGGGACCCGATATTGTACTGATTTTGGAATTTGGCCTAATAAATTTATTAAAACATAAGTACCTTTTTTTTGTCCCAATAAAGCAAATATATATTACATATTTTGCAAATCTTATTTACTACTTTTAATAAGCAAAACGAGAAATGTAAAATTGTAATGAAGCATTTAAATGCCGCTATTCCATTTAAATTATGATGGCAGGTTCTGCTCGATTTCTGCCGACAATCTGATATCAAATTACACTGCACAGATTCTGCTCGTTTTCTGCCGCCAATCTGCTGTCAATCTACGTCGTCAAGTTCTGCCGGCAAAACACGAGCTTAACGCGGACACAGATGGCACCGTATTTGCTGCCAAGTTCTGAGCGAATCTGCTCGCAAACTGTCAGCAGGCTGCTAACATTTTGTTGACTGGGGAGGGAGAGTGCGAAGGAAGAGAGGAAAAGGGAATATTAAATTAGACAAGTTCAACATATTTTGAGTAGTGGAGAATAGGTATCAGGTTTGCAGTTGTAAAAGTTTATGGTCAGCATTTTTTCGAGGTCATAGAGGGAAAGGGTATCAGGTTGCACACGTCTACAGTTGCAAAAGTGCATATTCAGCATTTTAGGTGTCATTTTGCGCCGTTGTCATATTTAGGAATTATGTAATAATTTTAGGTTATGTCATTTTTTAAATGTACATTTGTGCAGGCTTAGATTTCTCAGAAATCAAATTACTTGGTTATCATTTTTGACGCTATTTTGCGTCGTTGTCAGATTTTATTACCGATTTTAGATTGTCATTTTTTTTGGCGGTGACTAATAACAAGGTCGATTATGTGCATTGAGATGATTTCAATGAATTGATCGATCGCTTGCAATTGTTGGGAAGGCGCCAAGCGGGGAACAACGTTCATGACAACGAGTTTCTGTCAATTGTGGAAGAGTTACGTGGAGCGGGTCTGATTATAAATTAACCGCGCTACCACCATGCACTAGTAGCGGGTACGTTCCAAAATGTGCTGACAGTATTAACAGTACTGCTGCTAAAATTAATACATTTTAACTGTTTTAAGATTGTAGATACTAGTAGCAGAGCTGCTAGACAGGCTGGATTGCTTCTTCACGAGCCAGGCCGTGTATGGTAAGTACAGCCTACGATGGTAAGTACAGTTACGTGTTATGGATGCGCAATTTTGATGAGTCCCAGTAGACAAGTAGGACAGAACAAGTTGTAGCATGGAAAAATTCAAATAAGCTTAATATTCTTATTTTTTATTTGTTATTTTAATATCCCTGATAGCCAAGCATGTTTTGCAAGATCATGCAACTTAATGCTGAGCATGAATTTTCGACTTAGTTGTTGTATATTTGCTAAAAACGTAAAGCATAGTCATACGTATTCAACAACACGAGGGCAGATTTGAAACATTTCGTGTCAGCAGATTCAGAGCAAACGGAGAGCAACTGTTGCTCATTTTGTTGCCAACAAAATGACTTCTATTCATGGAAAACATTTTGCTTTGTCATTCATTTTCGACAACATAAGAGCAACATGACGGTGATAGAAAAAGATAATGATGTCTGTGCTTTTGTCGTATATTTGTTAAAAACTATTTAAATATATTAATTTGTTAAAAGCTGTTTAAATATGTTAATTGTGTCTTGTAATCAATATCAAATATCGAAAATGACCTATCTTTGTGTATGTGTGTATGTGTGTTTTCGCGAGTGCGTGCAATTTAATAAATAAATAGGCGATACATCGACGATATTTGTGGCAAATTAACACAGCTTCGGTTTCTACCTATAGATATTTGCGGCGAGGTATATATATATATATATATAATAAATATAGTAAAATAATAAATAAGTAAATTCTTCATTCTGGTAATAAATAAAAAAAGGTATTTATTTACTTATTATTTTATATGTTAGAAAGAGTAAGGTTGACAAAAATATTA